TTAACTCTTACAAAACTTAAAAATGGAGCAGTGCTAGTGCATAAGTGTTGCCGGTTAATTTAGGCATTAAAGCGGTCGAAAAACAAACTCAACCGCTTCTGTAACCATATTTTTCTCGAGAATAAAATTGAAAGTGGCAAAGGTAGAAAAAAACTAAAATGATTACGAAAATGTCGTAAATGGAACTATATATAGAGAAAAACATATCGATCAATTTTAATAAATATAATAGACATTGAACCGTAAAATCACATATTTAACCTAACATAACTATATATATAAAATAATGTGATCAAATAAACTCAAGCTAGGATAACTATAAGCCAACTCTGTTAGACGTGCAGCCAAGTTAGGAATTTGATTGAGAAGTTAACACGCCTCTAAACTATATATAGGTTAAATAGAGATATAGAATTAGAAAATGTGGTAATTACTATATTATAGAAACATCAATATTAAAAGTGAAGTGAAGGTAGCTCAGCTGGTTAGGTTCCTTTAATGGAACCAGCCCACCCGCACTTATAGCTATTTACTCGTAATCACTTCATCAATATTAAGATATACTGATACAGTCTTGAGTCTTTTTTTAGAGATGTTCATAGAAGTGAGTGTGCATGCGTGTGTGATGTGAGCATCTGCGTTTGTAATGTGTCAAAAAAAAAAAGAGAGATTATAATAAAATATGGAAACAGTCGGGATAACAACAAAATTGTTTTTTATTAATTTTAGTTTATATTTACGTTTTCATCGGTTAATATTTTCACGTTGGCTCAGTAATAACTATAGTTAATTAATAGGATGCGCGTTGTCAGAGATGGGAGTCCAGTGGCAGGCAGGCAGGCACACGTAACGTACGTGCTTTTCTGTTCGGTTGGTCGGAGGACGACGACACAAATCCGCGTCGATCCGCCGACCGCCGTCCATCATCTCGCAGTCGCATGCAGAGGAGACATGCTCAGTGGCTACTTGGCCTCCTTTAATAGCAAGAAACATCCATTTTAGAATAAAGTGATAATGGCTGTGTTTAGTTTAGATGTGGAATACTACTCCATACTTATAAAACTTATAAAAGAAATCGTTTAAATCATGAATAACTCTCAAGTTATTGAGTTTGAAAATGTAAAAATTATATGTATAGATTTGTCTTAAAGAATACTTTCAATAAAGTATACATATATTACTTTTTAATAAATATTTTCATAGAAATAAGAAGTCAAAGTTGTGTTTTGGAGACCGTGTCGCTGTATTAAACGACTTCCATTACGAGTATAGAGGGAGTATGTAATTTATTATGTTATTAGACTATATTTAATACTTTAAATATGTATCCGTATATGTTAATTTTTTTTTACCAAAACAACTAAACACGGTCAATGTATCTAAACATATACTTATTTGTACCTGAAATTTATTAGAAATAGAGGATTACGTTTCTTCTCCGAAAGTTCTCTAGCTACAGCTAGCTGTTTCCTCGGTGTACATAGAACCCATTTTTATGAAGAAAATTACAATGTTCTATTTATAGCACCTCTCTGGTTTTAGACGTGTTTTACCATTCGTTTAATTTAAAAGTTTGTGTAAACATACAAAAGTATATGTCATACATTAAGAACTTTTAATGATAAATCAAGTCACAATAAAATAAAAAATAATTATATATTAAAAATAAATAGTTAAATGTATCTTAAAAATATCAATGGCATCGTATATTCTAAACCCGAGGAAATATGTGCTAGAGCCTTGAGTTTTCTTTAGGTCAATTATTACAGGTTTTGCCCATGTTCTTATGTTTACATTTTTTTTGCCTTACTTGGCCATTATATTCACCAACCATTCGTAACTTTTTTTTTCTCGAAATCGGCAAGAGTTCCTCTCACTTATAATTGTCACTCTCTGAAAGAAACTTGCCCAATCCATCAGAATTTTCAGTAATTTTCACTCAAATTTGACCATAGTGCAATTTATAATACATTTAAATATGCATATCGGAAGAAGCATCTGTATGCATGGTAGAATCATGATCGACGTATAACCCACCCACCAATGTGTTAAATCCTGGTGCTATGCATATGTTGACACAGAGGTCGGCAGTTATACTATCTTTGTAAAAGAAAAAATTAAAGCACTTACAGTTTATTTTCTCGTTTCGTCCATGAATATAAGTACATATGTAGTGTTTTACTTTTGGAGTTTTAAGGTTAAGTTGAAGGATAAATAAAGGGGCAATTGTAAATTTACCACTACTTTAAATCGTTATTGCAAAACTGCCACCAGAAAATTACAAAAATACCACTAGAGCTGTCATTCGAATGGCATCCTTACAATATTGAAAAAACCAGAGGCAAATTTGCAAATGCCCCATAAATAAACTCTAAGTATGCTTATCATTACTATAGAAAGCCAGATTGGTGCTGGTTGGGAACCGAACATAAGTGCCGGATTTTTCAACCGGCACCCTGCAAGCAGCATCGATGACTTCGGTCATCAGTACCGGTTATTGAACCGATACCTATAATACATATAAGTGCCGGTTGGGAACCTCACAACCGGCACCTAAGAGGTTCCACGAGCCAAAAAAAAAAAAAACCAGCTCGATGCATCGTCTCGATTCGACCCAATGCATTAAACAGCTCCCCATCACCCAAATCCAAGAACACATCCATCAACATCCATGTACCAAGAATCCAAGAACACATTTCTCATAATCTCACCATCCATCCAACAACGACACAGAGAGGCGATGGTGAATCAAAAACAACAACAACACATTTCTGTTGCTCGCCACATCCAACAACGCATTCGACAACAGCAACAAATAAAAAATAAAAAATCAACGAGGAAATGAAGAGAATGACACCGTTGCTTGACTGCCCACCGCTCCACTGTCAAGGCTACCCCACCGCACCACCATCAAGGCCACCTGCCACGGAGGAGAGGCCGCCCACCGCGCCGGCTGTGGGGAGGCCGCCTGTCACGCCGTGTAGGGAGGCAACCCATTGCACCTTTGTGGAGGCCTCCCGCCGTGCCCGGCCCCACCACCGCCGGATCTGGCCGACTGACACTTTTAACCCCCTACATTTTTAACCCCCTACATAGATACCATTTTATCAAAAAAAACACCGTCACTTATAGTATAAGTTCTGGTTTTTCTTTAAAATCGGCACCTATATTTACTAAAAGGTGCTGGTTTTCTATTTTTTTCACCCCGCAGAGGTGAGAAAAACTCTATAGGTGCCGATTTTAATATTTCCGGCACATATAGTGCCGATATGTATATGCTTTTTTGTAGTAGTGTATATTTTTGGATCAAGGGAGTAAAAGCGCATTCCATTTAGGGGTGAAGTAGTGGTTATATGATTTCACTAATCAAAATTTAAATCTTGACACCACACAATTACTTAGAGTACAGTAATTAGATTTAGCCACAGCTAGTATTTTTTTTAATAATAAAATTTATTCCGGCCTTTGCTCTAGAAAAGTAGAGCCAATTATTTCGGAGTTTACGGGATAAAAAGCTATGAATTACAAAATTACAGATCAACTAAAATAAATACTAAGAAAACCATCCTAAAGATAGAGATCAAAGTGTGCATAACCATTGTTTCTACCAATAGGGTTTTTTTTTTCGGGGATACCAATAGGTTATTAGTTATACGTAATACGTGTCTCTTAAATCAGGAAAGATAGAGATCAGAGTGTACATAACTATTATTTCTACCAATGATTTATAAGTTAGATGTAATCCTTGTCTTCTTTTTTTAAATAAAAAAATCTCTTATATCCGTGGTCAATCTTTTGCTATATTAATGGGGCATGCTATGTGCTTGCTAATATATACAGTGCTCTCTACTGGTAGTAGAAAGCAATCTAAACCGTGTATTTGATATTAAAGGGTTCAGATCTATTCATACTACCACCTCAATTAGCAGTACAAGAAACGTGGAGGGGTATTATTAGAAAAAAAATGGTGCAGAGACATATAGTCATTTAGCAGTGATATAATGGTGCGACGCCAGCGCAATGGATGATCACAGATCGATTTAGCCGGGACAAAAACATAAATGACAAAGTTATCTCTAATAATTGTATTAGTAAATTACTACTTTACCTGTAATAACGAACGGTTTAGATCATTTCTACTGGTAGTATAATACTACTAGTAAATAGCATGGGAGCATCACTACCTGTGCTTTTGATTACGTGTGGGCGTTCCTATATATGTAAACGAAAAGGAGAGAAAAAAATCAAAATATTATACTCAATCTTTTGACGTCAGTTTTGTAAATTATGCCCCCACAACCTGGTCGATCACCGGTCATTTTTGTTGCATATGATACGCTAGATTAGATATTATATATAATCTTTTCTGCAACCGATCTGCATGCAAATGAAACATTATTAACGTCGATTGATGGATCGATCGATGGATGCCGGACAACTTGAAGGGACGTCATGCTTGCCATATCCATGATGCAAGCTTGCATGTATACAGTACTTCCTCCGTCCAGTAAATGTGACGTTTTAAGGTTTGGAACCAAAATTAGCTGAGGTGTAAAATGACCAAATTGTTCCTATGATTTGATTGAGCTATCATTTCCAGCATTTGTTAATGCACCCAGATTATCATTTCTGGAAGTTTCCTGATTGCTGATGAAACCACAACACAGTGCCACGTGTTACAAGAAGTTTAGGAAAAGGCATCATTAACATATTCAAAAATTTGAATCAACCATTAAGTAATCTTTGCCGCCCAGGACTGCCTCTTCATTTGCTAGTTCTTTTTTTTTTTGAGAATTCTTTATTTGCTAGTTCTGGCGCCCAAGAGTGCCTCTTCATATGCTACAAATACTGAAAGGGCCATCCATTTCATTCCATTTCATCAACCTACATATCCAACTGAAAACCACACACATCCAATCCAAATGATCAGAGATCTAAATTTACTACCGGAAGAGGAAGGAGATGGAGGGGCTTTACCTGATCTCAATGGACAAGCTGATATGGAAGAAGATGGAAGAGCTGCTGTTATCCTTGGAGATAACCTTCTTGGAGTTGATGGCCAGGAACATGGAGGTTTTCTTGATCTCAACTTGCATCCTTTTGATCTCAACATGGAGGCTATAGAAGAAGAACAAATGCATCAAGGTAAGATTTCAATACTTATCAATCATCTGCGCTGGACCAAGCACTTACTAACTTGCTGGAATCAAGGGCTTTTATTTGAAATGGTTTTATGGATGATTTACACTAGCACGCACCAGTTTCCTATTAGTTAAATAAATCAATCTATTCCATTTAGTACCTGTGTTCCATTCCAGTTTGATTATCCAGAATCATACCATAATTCAGATATAAGCTGGTGTTGTAAGGTTCGAATGTTACAGTTAGTGTACTCCGAAAAAAGAATGTTACAGTTAGTGTACAATTTTAGCATTTTGGTTTCTAGTATTATTTTTCCTGATCCTTACTCATATAAGTGATATGTAAGTGCATATCTTTAATTCTAAGCAATGACTAGAACTTTATAAGTGATCCTTATCGGTATACTAGAAAATTATAAAATGATATGTATATGCTGAGTACAGGCAATGACAGCCAAAGGTATATGACACCAATGCATATTCCCTGGCCTGTATGTATTGCTCACAATATGCATGAAACAAGGCCAAACAGCTAGGATGTGACGATGCGTACGTGGATTATAAATTTACATCTTCAAAGACTACTGGAAATTTGCTCCAACTGTATAGATTCGGTTTCTTATGCAGTGCATTAGAGCTAATACTGCTTTTCACAGATCCATCATGGATGATCTTACTTTCCCATTGAATGGAAGTGCTCCATAAATCTTTTGTTGAATCAACTTTAATTTTTTTACAGTACATTAGTTTTTATTTAGCAACTAACAATCTTTCTTTATACATATGCAGATTAGTTATCTCCAAAATGTTCTCTCAGTCCACACTATATATTTAAACAACAAAATTTCAAGCATGTATACATGAACAAAGGTTGCATTAGTTAGTCGCTGACCTCTTGCAATTTGCATTATTAGACCACTAACCATTCATGCATAAGCCTGCATGTAAAATTATAAAATGACAACATGAGCAGTGACATATTTACAAGTGTACTAACCAACAAGTATTTGGGCAGACAACGTGATGCACTGTGCAGCGCACGTCGTGCATGGGAATGCACATGTAAATGAAGAACAAGAAGAAACTGAACTAGGTAAAATTAATGTTTGAATAAATGTACGCATTCTTATTAACCCAGATTAACTTAACATGTCAAACATTTTTTGTAGATGATCATGACGCATTGCAATTTGAGCTGGAAGCCTTGGAGGATGATCTTCGAGAGTACGGAGTGTATGCCGAAGCTGTCAATGTTGTCTTTGATTTAGAGGACTTGCCCGACTCAGATGACGATAAAGAAGAACATGCAAATGATAATGTGGCAAGTAAGTCAAAAGATTTGACAAACATACAAAGGCGAGGCATTTATCAATTGTTGCTTCAGAAAAGTAAAGATGGAAAATTAGAAAAACACACCACACGTTTAGTTGCTCAAGAGTTCCATGTTAGCATCCGTACAGTCCAACGTATTTGGAAGAGAGCAAAGATTTGCCATGAACAGGGAATAACAGTGAATGTTGATTCAAGGAAGCATGGAAACTCTGGACGCAAGAAGGTCGAAATAGACTTGTCAGTTATTGCAGCTATTCCAGTGCATCAAAGGAGCACTATCCGGTCACTAGCACAAGCCCTTGGTGTTTCCAAAAGCACATTACATAGGTGGTTCAAAGAAGGGCTGATACGGCGTCACTCAAACTCGCTAAAGCCTTATTTGAAGGAAGCAAATAAAAAGGAAAGGCTGCGGTGGTGTGTTTCTATGTTGGATCCGCATACATTGCCAAACAACCCAAAGTTTATTGAAATGGAAAATATTATCCACATAGATGAGAAATGGTTCAATGCATCAAAGAAGGAGAAGACTTTCTACCTGTATCCGGGTGAAGAGGAGCCATATTTCACAGTGCACAACAAGAACGCCATTGATAAAGTAATGTTCTTATCAGCAGTTGCGAAACCAAGGTATGATGATGAGGGTAATTGCACTTTTAATGGAAAGATAGGCATTTGGCCTTTTACTAGGAAGGTAAAATATTCTTCTTATTAAAAGTGTTGTTGATGTACATTTATTTCTGATATTCATGGGTAAACATAACTTATTTCATATACTAGCAGGAACCAGCCCAAAGGAGAAGTCGTAATAGAGAAAGGGGAACACTAGTAACCAAGCCAATAAAGGTTGATAGAGACACCATAAGATCATTCATGATCTCTAAAGTTCTACCAGCTATTAGAGCATGTTGGCCTCGAGAAGATGCAAGAAAAACCATATGGATTCAGCAGGATAATGCTAGAACTCATCTCCCTATCGATGATGCACAGTTTGGTGTGGCAGTAGCCCAAACCGGACTTGATATTCGCCTCGTGAATCAACCTCCAAATTCCCCGGATATGAATTGTCTAGATCTTGGATTCTTTGCTTCACTTCAGTCCTTAACACATAATAGGATATCTAGAAACATGGATGAGATAATCGAGAATGTTCACAAGGAATACCATGACTACAATCCTAATACTCTTAATAGGGTATTCCTTACACTACAAGGCTGCTACATTGAGGTCATGAGAGCTAACGAAGGGAATAAGTACAAGATCCCTCACATGAACAAGGAGAGGCTAGAGGCACTTGGTGTTTTGCCTAAAGCCCTTAGTTGTGATCGTGGGCTATATGAGAGAGTCGTGGAGTCTTTGGCTAACTAGTGGTGGCTATTTTGCGTTATATATGTAAATTGCTAATGCTATCTATGTAATTGTGGTTTGGAGAACTAACTGGTGTTATTTTGGGCTGTGTATGTAAACGTCATCTATCACTACGCCATTCGTAGGTTTTGGCAACAACCACTATGTATTTTTGACAGTCCTCATATAATATGTGTTATATATGTATTTTCACTGTTCGTTTCATCCTTAACAGATACATCAATGGCTGACTATCATACAATATTCCTAAACTATAATGTCGGTTCAATTGTGCACCAAATGCTTGGCATACTCAACTCAAAATTTTGCAATACTGTATTTACAATCAAAATCTCGCAGCATAGACTACAAGAAGTTTTCTTTAGGTTCGAGGTGCAAGTGACATATTGAGCTAAGTAAACAAATTCACCAAAGATGACACAAATAAACTTTAAAAGGTCCTTATAATTAATTAGTTAATTACACATATTGATCAAGCATGTACTGCTTACAGACTACGCAAAAGGGAATGTGAACCAAACAGGCTTGGTAGTCATGCTAGTTCTTCATTTTTTACATATATGCAAAGATCAAAGTGGTTTAGCCAAAGCAGGATTCCATTTCTCTAGCCTTGATCACCTCATTAGTAATGCAATATTACTAATATGTCTTACTCCTAGAACTAATACTCCTAGATGGCATATCTTCCATGGCATTATTTGTGAGGTATGGGGAAGTATAGGGGAAGTAAAATCCGTAACATACTTTCACAAATTTCAGCAAATTCGTCGACGCCCTCATCTCCAGCAGCTACACTGTCGGGAGGCAGCTCGGAGTCGTGGTCGCCGCCACACGCCTCGTCCTCTGAGTCAGGGATGACGCAGCCGTCAGGAGGCAGCTCAGAGTCGGGGTCGCCGCCACACGCCTCATCCTCGGAATCAGGGACGACACAGCCGTCGGGAGGCAGCTCGGAGTCAGGGTCGCCGCCACACGCCTCCTCCTCGGAATCAGGGACGACGCAGCCGTCAGGAGGCAGCTTGGAGTCGGGGTCGCCGCCACATGCCTCCTCCTCGGAATCAGGGACGACGCAACCGTCGGGAGCCAGCTGGGAGTCAGGGTCGCCGCCACACGCCTCATCCTCGGAATCAGGGACGACACAGCCGTCGGGAGGCAGCTCGGAGTCAGGGTCGCCGCCACACGCCTCCTCCTCCTCGGAATCAGGGACGACGCAGCCGTCGGGAGGCAGCTCGGAGTCGGGGTCGCCGCCACATGCCTCCTCCTCGGAGTCAAGGACGACGCAGCCGTTGGGAGGCAGCGGGGAGTCGGGGTCACCACCACACGTCTCGTCCTCGAAGTCAGGGACAAAGCCGCCGCCGGGAGGCAGCTCGGAGTTGGGGACGACACCGTACTCCTCACCCTCGGAGTCAGGGACAAAGGTGCCCTCGGGAGGCAGCTCCGACTCAGGGTCACCGCCACAAATCTCGTCCTTGGAGTCAAGGACAAACCCGCTGCCAAGGGGCAGATCGGAGTTCGGTACACCTCCACTTGCCTCGTCGTCGGAGTCAACGATGAAGCCACCGCCGGGATGGCGCTCCGCATCGGACATATAGCCACATGCATGCTGCTCCTCGGTGAGGTAGTGGACGCCGCCGGCACCGAGCACCCTACCACCACGCCGCCTGCATCCTCCTCGGCTTCCTCCACTTGCCTGTTGTGAGTCGGCATCTATTTCCACAGCCCTCTGCTTGCGTACAGCCCATCTACCCCGCCGAGCAGTTACCTCCATGACCGTGACGGCCGGAGAATCGGCGCAGCCCCGCCGCGCCATTGCTGACATGGACCGCCGAGTGGAGAGGAGAGGTGAGGAGGCTAGGGAGGTGGGAGGCGACGGATGAGATAGATCGGGGTGGGGAGATTAGGGATCGTTGGGGGGCTGAAGCATCTAGGCCCCCGTTGTTAATTTTGGTAATTAATGACAAGCACTAATTGTGGACTAACCGTTGCTATTGAGATTTATTTTAAGTTAGGTCCACGTCATGTGTGCGCATGGATGACTATTGATGGATTAAAATTTGATGGCGTGAAGCGAAGAAAAGAAAACGGTAAAACTAGTGCTTTAGTTTTAAAATTGATCGAGGTAAAGGGCGATCAAATTTGCTAATTTATATTTTAGTTTCGTCGTACTATCAAGGGGGGTAATGACCTAGCAATGGGATGATTTTAATTGCCACATTAGGTCATTATGCATTTAGACTTGTGCTCACATTTCATCACACACAATTTTCACATTGTATCTCAGTGGGTTCGGCCTGACCAGGGGCGGTTAGACCGGCCACATAGTGGCGGTCTGACTGGCGTGCCCTGGCCGGTCTGACCAGCGCCACAACGGCGGTCTGACCGGCGCATAAGGCCGGTCTGACCGGTGGCACATGCGCGGTCAGACCGGCCCCCTGGAGGCCGGGATGGTGCTACTCGGGATGGCCGATACAGAGCCGACGGAGCCGTATTCGGTCAGACCAAGCCGATGGCGGTCTGACCGCCCACTCAACGCCGGTCTGACCGGCCAGGCCGATGGGGCCCTCTGACAGGGCTACAACGGCTAGTTTTCTAGCCGTTGCAGAGTAGCACGGTCTGACCGGCCACATACCTCCGGTCAGACCGGCAGAGCACAAAGTTGGGGGATTTCGCCCCCAACGGCTAGTTTTGGATGGTGGGAGTATAAATACTCCCCCTCCAGCAGCAATGGGGCTCTCTTGGCACCCAATTCAATTGCATACACCCCTTGCACCTCTCTCACACCCACTTGAGCTTTGTGTTCATCCATCTAGTGTGTTAGAGGGTTGTTCTAGCCAAGAGTCAAGTGCATTTGCTTTCATTTGTAGAGCTAGTGTGGCACTTGATTGATCATCTCCACGCCGGGTCATTGCTTGTTACTCTTGGAGGTTGCCGCCTCCTAGACGGCTTGTGGAGGAGTTGCCCGGTGACCTCTCCGAGAAGATTGTGGAGGAGTCCCGGCGCCGGTTTGTGAGTGGTTTGGAGTTCACCACCTTCGGAGTGAAGGAAGAACTACCCTACTTATCGAGGCTTGGGTAGTCTTCTCCGTGGGCCGGCTCCCGCCTTGCCCACCCCTTGACGAAGGGGGCGTGCGGTGGCTTCGTGGTTGAGTGGTGGAGTTGGGCTCGCCTCAACGGGGAGTAGGAAACCGGCGAGTTTCTGAACCTCGGTGAAAAATCTCTTGTCTCCTTGTCTCATTTGATTGTCGCATTTACATTTGTGCAATTTACATTTCTAAAGACAAACTTGAGTTCATATCACCATAGGATTGCTAAACATTGACATAGGAGTGTGATTTACTTTCCTAGAGATATAATTGAGCCACTATCACTCGAGGTTTGCAAAACATAACTTAGTTGCTTAGTTAGAGTTGACCCTCACCAAGCCTAGCAACTTAGGTTAGTTTTGATTAGGTGACATTCAGTTTTAAATCGCCTATTCACCCCCCTCTAGTCGACATCTCGATCCTACAAGTGGTATCAGAGCTTGGTCTCTCTTTATTGGGTTTCACCGCCTAGAGAGAAGATGTCGAACGAGGTGAACCATGTTGGGAAGGCTCCTATGTTTAATGGCACAAACTACTCCACTTGGAAAATTAAAATGTCTACTCACCTCAAAGCTATGAGCTTCCATATTTGGAGTATTGTGGTTGTAGGCTTTGCTATCACCGGCACACCCTTGACGGAGATTGATCACCGCAACCTCAACTTAATGCCCAATCTATGAATGCTTTGTTCAACTCTTTGAGCCAAGAGGAGTTCGATAGAGTGAGCAACCTTGAGACCGCATATGAGATTTGGAACAAGTTGGCGGAGATCCATGAGGGCACAAGCGAGTACAAGGATGCCAAGCTTCATTTCCTCAAGATCCAATATGAGACATTCTCCATGTTGCCTCATGAGAGTGTGAATGACATGTATGGGAGGCTTAATGTCATTGTGAATGATCTCAAGGGACTTGGGGCAAACTACACCGATCTTGAGGTTTCCCAAAAGATGCTTAGGGCTCTAAGAAGTATGAGACCCTTGTCACCATGCTCATCAACTCCGACATGTCAAGGATGACACCCGCAAGCCTCTTGGGGAAGATCAACACCAATGACATGTACAAGTTGAAGAAGGAGGAGATGGAGGAAGCCTCACCTTCCAAGAAGTGCATTGCTCTCCAAGCCGAAGTTGAAGATAAGGACAAGGGCAAGGTGAATGAAGCCAATGAGGACTTGGAGGAAGAGATTGTCCTTCTTGCTAGAAGGTTCAATGATCTCTTGGGAAGGAGAAAGGAGAGAGGAAGGGGCTCTAACTCCAATAGGAGAAGAAATAGAAGACCCAACAAGACCCTCTCCAACTTGAGGTGCTTTGAGTATGGTGAGAAGGGACACTTTGCTTCCAAGTGCCCTTCCAAGGATGATGATTGAGACAAGTCATCCAAGAAGAAGAGTGGAGGCTACAAGCTCATGAAGAAACTCAAGAAGGAAGGCAAGAAGATTGAGGCCTTCATCAGGGAATGGGATTCAAATGAGGAGAGCTCCGCCTCATCCGGGTCCGAGGAAGAAGGTGGTGATGATGCAAGCTCCAAGAAGAAGAAGATGGTCGTTGTTGCCATCAAGGAGGCTCCATCACTCTTCGCTCCAATTTGTCTCATGGCAAAGGGCTCCTCTAAGGTAACATCTCTTAGTCATAGTGAGAGTGATGATGATTGTGATGATGTTTCCTATGATGAGCTTGTGAGTATGTTTGAGGAGCTCCATGCTTATAGTGAGAAGGAGATTGTCAAGTTCAAGACTCTAAAGAAGGATCATACTTCTTTGGAGGTTTTGTATTAGGAGCTAAAGACTTCTCATGAGAGACTCACCATTTCTCATGAGAGGAAGCTCATAACAACCTCCTTTCCACTACTCAACATGAAGCTCTCATTGATGTTGGCATATCTTGTGATTTGCTTGATGATAGTACTACTTGCCATATTGCTCATGTTGCATCATCTAGCATTTCTACCTCTTGTGATGATCTTGTGGATATGCCTAGCTCTAGCTCTAGCCCTTGTGTTTCTATTTGTGATGCCTCCCTTGTTGTTAAGAACAATGAGCTTGAGGAGCAAGTGGCTAAGCTCAACAAGAGTTTGGAGAGGTGCTTCAAGGGTAAGAACACTCTTAACATGATTTTAAGTGAGCAACGGTGCATCCTTAACAAGGAGGGACTTGGATTCATTCCAAAGAAGGGTAAGAAACCTTCTCACTGTGCCACTCGTTTTGTCAAGAGCAATGGTAAGTATTGCTCCAAGTGTCGTGAGGTTGGGCATTTGGTGAATGATTGCCCCGGTGGTAAGCCTTCCAAGACTTGCATGTTTGATTCTCATTATATGCTTAGGAAGGCTCATGATGGTAGCATTGTTGCTAGATATGTGGGTTCCCCTATACTCGGTGGTAAAAAGAATGCTATTTGGGTGCCCAAAGCTTTGATCTCTAACCTCCAAGGACCCAAACAAGTTTGGATACCTAAAAGAGCTTGATCTTCTTTTGTAGGTGAACTACCGCACCGGTGGAAGCCATTGGGTGCTTGATAGTGGATGCACTCAACACATGACCGGTGATAGGGCTATATTCACCACATTTGAAGTAGGAGGGAATGAACAAGAGAAAGTGACTTTTGGAGACAATAGCAAAGGAAATGTAATTGGGTTAGGTAAAATTTCTATCTCCAATGATTTATCAATTGATAATGTCTCTCTTGTTAAATCTCTAAATTTCAATTTGCTTTCGGTTGCTCAAATTTGTGATCTTGGCTTGTCATGTGCTTTCTTCCCGCAAGAAGTTATTGTTTCTAGCCTTCTTGACAAGTCTTGTGTGTTCAAGGGTTTTAGATATGGAAATCTTTATTTGGTTGATTTCAATTCTAGTGAAGCAAATTTGAAAACTTGTTTAGTTGCAAAAACTTCATTGGGTTGGCTTTGGCATAGGAGGCTAGCCCATGTTGGCATGAATCAATTGAGCAAACTTTCAAAACGTGATCTAGTTGTGGGCTTGAAAGATGTGAAGTTTGAGAAAGATAAGCTTTGTAGTGCTTGTCAAGCCGGCAAGCAAGTTGCATGTTCTCATCCTACTAAGAGTATCATGTCCACATCTAGACCATTGGAGCTCTTGCATATGGATTTGTTTGGTCCAACAACCTATAAGAGCATTGGTGGTAATAGTCATTGTCTTGTGATTGTTGATGATTATTCTCACTATACTTGGGTGTTCTTTTTGCATGATAAGTCTATTGTTGCCGAGCTTTTCAAAAAGTTTGCAAAAAGGGCCCAAAATGAATTTAGTTGCAATCTTGTGAAAATTAGAAGTGACAATGGTTCCGAGTTTAAGAATACCAATATCGAGGACTATTGTGATGATCTTGGTATCAAACACAAACTTTCCGCTACCTACTCACCTCGACAAAATGGTGTAGTGGAGAGGAAAAATCGTACATTGATTGAGATGGCAAGGACTATGCTTGATGAATATGGTGTTTCCGATTCCTTTTGGGCAGAAGCCATAAACACCGCTTGCCATGCAACCAAAGGCTTTATTTGCATCGTCTCTTGAAAAAGACTTCCTATGAGATAATTGTTGCTTATTTTCGAGTTTTTGGTTGCAAGTGTTATATTTATCGAAAGGGTGTTAGACTAACCAAATTTGAAAGTCGGTGTGATGAAGAGTTTCTTCTAGGTTATGCCTCAAATAGCAAGACATACCGGGTCTACAACAAGAACAAAGGTATTGTAGAAGAAACCGCCGATGTT